GGATAGAAAAAAAGGAGGGGGCTTTTCAGTTGCCAGAGGTTCCCAGCTTTGCACAAAGAGATCTAAATGATGGAAACGTCTCCACCTCTTCTTGGCATAGAGAGAAAAAGTCGCACTTAAGCTTTTCCTTGCAGAACAGAGACTAAAAGCACTCGGAGAAGTGTAAATCCTATACCATGCCTCGTCTCATTCTGCAAAACTCGGACCTAACGAGCAGCCTTAATTGCAGCACGACAGCGCAGCTGGAGGCCAACTCAAGCTTTGCAGAGTTAAATATTTTCTCCAGGTTTCCACTGAAGGCTTTCATGCGGGTCTGAGCGTACCCAGCATTTCCCGTTGAAACGATTTTTGGCCCTAGATCGACGTCAGCGCTTGGCTCCCAGTTTTAACGCTGCTCTTCGACCGCCTTGGTTTAAAACAATCTCCATGGGGTTAAGGGCAGCTGCTTCAGCAGGGCTTTGGATCTTCCTACCAAGAAGATATTGGGCTATCTGCACCAGGGAGGAGTAAAAAAGTCCTTCATCCAGAGTCCCTCCAGGGTGAAACGAGAGCTCAAGTGCTCCACAGTGATCACAGGGAAGCAAAAATAAAGTAGACTAGACTAGGATAGGACAGACTAGACTAGACTAGGATAGACTAGGATAGGATAGGATAGGATAAAAACAGCTATAGGATAGGATAGGATAGGATAGGATAGGATAGGATAGGATAAAAATAGCTATATTGGTAGGATATATAGGATTGATAGGATAAAAATAGCTATAGGATAGGATAAAAATAGTTAAATAGTAAGCTCTGTTTGGACCCAACAGAATGGGATCACCACAGGCTGTAAACCAGCCAGGGTAAAAGCCTGCAGCAACCCAAAAGAAAAAGTTGGTATGTTAAGGAAATGTAGGACCTTTTGTCCTGGAGCCCTTAATTTCCTCTTGGTTTTCACTGTGAATTATCAGCTTAATAACGCCGGGCAGCGTCTGGGCTACAGATCCTCTCTCTCGGCATCATTATTTTCCCTGCTGTTGGAGAAGAAGAAATTTAGTGTTCACATTTCTCCTTTCTCCCCGGTCTTTTAATTTACCGGGGTAATTCATCAACTCAAGCAGCTCAATACGCCGCACCTTCGCAAAGCAGAGGATCAATAGCCAAGGGCCGCCCTCCTCGGTCCTGTGCTGGGCAGCACAAAGGGAGAACAACAAAAAATCTTCCATCAGATACGCAAATCCGAGATTCATCTGCCTGAAAGTCAAACAAAATCCATGCGGCTGGACCTGTGGCACAGACAGGGAAGCTGATGTACCCGTGTGATAGCAAAATTGGAGAAGAAAACCCACTGGACTAGGAGACGGGGCTCCGATAAAGGCACGCCTTATTCCAAACCCTATCTTAAGTTCTGCAAAAAACCTCTCCCATTGCATCTTTTTCCCCCAGAAGTGCAAACCTCAGGGCTAAAATTCCCGAGTATTTGCCCAAAAGAGGGTCCATGCACAGTATTTCCCAGGTACGAGGCCAGCAGTGGGGATAACAGGTAGGTGTGCAACGTGCTGCTGCCGTAGGTTCAGCACAACCAATCTGGGTACCAGATGCAGTCTTGGCCCAGAATTACCATCATTATTTACTGCACCAGCCAAAAAACCTCCTTGATGGGTAGTAGAGGAGTCTGCTGCGAGCTCCGGTAGCCAAATAGACTCAGACCTATCTCACCATAACACTGTGCAGTGCAGTAACCTAAATTTAAATAGCCCGTTGAGGATGGTCCAAGACAGTGCAGACTTTATTGCTGTTGGGTTAAAGGGATTTATA